CATACACTCATCATACACGCACACATGCGCGCGCGCACACATATACTAAACACAGACTTGCCATATCGGTACCAGCCTTGCCACTGGCAGAGGGGAGAGGGAAGAGGGCAGAGGGGACAGGGCAGAGGGGACAGGGCAGAGGGGAGAGGGCAGAGTGGTCTCAAGGCATGGCGTCCACCTAGAGTGCTAGAGGCCTCAGGTTCAACTCCCGGTAAAGGCTGGAATTTTTTTCACGTCTATTTCTATTAATTTTCCCTGGACTCTGGGTAGTAAGATCAGACGCCCGTGTGTATTGTTGCGAAATTGAAAAATCTCTTGGCTGTCGGAAATTAAAAAGAGTAGCCTAACATCGCACCCTAAGCAAAATTTGGAGTTTAAAATCTACCAAAAGTATTTTCAGGATCCCCGCCGGTGCTACAGAGATCGTGCACTGCGCTGAGATTCTTCGTACTCAGGCTTGAGTTAGAAGTAGAACCGAGCATTTGTGAGTTTCAACACTTGTGCCGTGATGTTGATCCGTTGTTTAGACCTAACCTTAACATCCTACACTACTGGAACATAGTCACCATAATAACACCCCCCCCCCCACACACACACACACACACACACACATCCCCTCCCCACACTCACAAACTCAAATGCATCCACAGGCAATAGAAACGTTGGTCTCCACACGGACCGCCCATATACACACTAGCTCACTTCGGATTGGTCGACCTTTAGCCACTTTTCCTTGACACATGGTGACAGGGGTGTTCCCCAATACCGTTGATATCGCCTCTTCTATATTTCAACATTCCAGCCGGCCATCTTTAGCTATAAATAGGCCAACTGGGTCAACGGAGATTCCCGTTCTTGTGCAAGAATTGAGTCCCTCTGTGTTTTTATTGAGGAGATGTATACACAAATTAAACTACAGTTTCAATAATTTTCTACATATTTTATAGAACTATACGTCATTTTTAAGGTAAATAAGTGTGCCGAATAAATATAACAATAAAGGCTCTTACAGACAAACAAAAATGCTGCTACAGTTTTTGAAACTGAGACATCATTCTTTACATGAAAACTAAAAGTTGTTCCAGCAAAAGTAAAGAAATATCAGGGGGGGAGAGGGTATTCTTGCATCAGAGGAGCGAGCGGGGGGGGGGGGGGGGGTGGGGTGACATTTGTACTTTATCAAATTTAGAGCATACAAATACTGCTATGAAAGATACACATATCATACATAACATAAATATAAATAATTGATGGTTATTATTATTATTAGTAGACTACTACAACATATAATTATACTGTTATTTAATAATTAGTAAACAAGCACAATCAGTATGAAATTGATATGTGCAATACTTTTTTCACCCAGAGTAGTTTTCTTAACAGTACTTATAGCACTACTAAATATGTATCCTCAAGGTACAAACAGCACAAACAAATTTGTCTAGTTTCATCTTGTTGGATGAAATCAATTCTTTACCATTGCGAATTTTTTGGTAAATATGCATAGGAAGTGGATGAACAACCAGAAGTTTCCGCAAGAGTTTACAGCCAGTGTTTGCGAAGCAAAGCAAAAGCCAGTTTACAAAAATTAACACAGACTGTAGAACTGCAAACATGCAAAAGAAGTCGATGAACTACCAGAAGTTTCCGCAAGAGTTTACAGCCAGCGTTCGCGAAGCATAAGTCAAATGGTTAAGGATTAATATTATTAATCAATATGGAAGCAATAGTTTTCTTCAAACACAAGATAGTTTTCACCTGACAACTGTCGATATTCTCCAGATATTGCTTCTAAATTAACTGTTTAAAGTATTTTCCCTAAAAGTAAGTTTTCCACATTCAAAGTAGAAAAAGAATAAACAGCCAGTTCCCATAAATCCAAACTACTGACTAGAAACAGTGACACACACATCGCAACACGACCGTCTCCCGTGAATTTAAATTCAAATTGCTGTAATCTAACAGCAAAGTTTGAAAATCTTGTATATCTACTTAAGAATATCCACTTGTAGATATGTAATACGAATTCATTCAGAACACAGAACTTTGCAAGCACATTAAAATGTCACACAATGCAACACATTGAAAGGGCTTACACTAACCAGTTTTCAAGGGACTCTATCCAAAAAGTCACGTGATTTAGTTAGATGGCGTAATCTAGAGCGGCACACCCGTAACATTCAGCAGGTTAGGACAGCCTAAAAAGCTATCAATAGAACGTGACCTACTTTCTGTGGGGAGATTTCGTTTACTTGACCCATCCACTCATACTGACATGACCTGTGGATTAATCCACCTTTGCTTGTCTCTGTGTGTCGCCAGATGGAGAAGACGGAGTTTGGCGAAATCATCGCCAAGGTCTCCGGGATAGTCAACGGTTCCAACAAGTTACCATGGTTACTGTCAGCGCGACCAATGGTGGCGCTGCTGCTGGCAGGTGGTTTCTGGCTCCCGGCATTCATTGCGGTTCTGGTCATCCATGTTGATGACGACAGCGGAAGTAAGTCCTGCTTGTTTGTGTAGCAACCAGTCCTACTGTTTGGTCTGTCTCTTGTGTGTTGTATGTTTGTTCCCGTAAATCATGTGTTTATGTATGTGGTATATCTTAACACAGATAACATATCGTCACTGGACCTATGTCTCTGCACGGCATCTATGTTAACACAGTTAATTTCCGGATATCCAGTTATGTATGTTCTGTACCCTGAGCAGAGGTGGTAAATAGTGATCGAAATTCACATGACAACCTGCAGAAGCCATTAGGCTGCCCTGGCCGGATCTCCCACACAAACATCCACACGAGTACTCACACACTCACACACTCACACACTTACACACTCACACACTTACACACTCACACAAAACAGTGTTATTTGTTGACGCGTTAGACGCCTTTTCAGTTGCGGATGTAAATTTCCAGACTAGAGTGTGTGTGTGTGCGTGCGTGTGTGTATATGCGTGCATGCGTACGTACGTGCGTGCGTATGTGTGAGTTTAATACTCATGCACCGTTTACATTGTGAACACTGGCGGCATTACACACGCTGTAGTGTCCTGCCTAATGGTTACAGTCCCGGAAAGTAAAGGTGGCCGGCGTGATGCTGAACACATTATCTATCTTGAGCCGATTGGTCACTAAATATATCGGTCTAACCCTATATGCCCTATACACCTAAAGGCGTGGAAAAGGGTCCTTTACTTTACTAAGATGTATTACATGTCTTGTCAGCTGGCTGGCGACCATGCAGCGCCAGAACTCACAACCTTCAGAATTGTTCAATATTTACTGTGCTGATATTGCTCTACGATATTTTTGCAAGATTGTCAGCAGTCTCTCCTTCCAGTATTTTTCCATTTCCCAATATCACCTGCCCGTATGATGTGTTCCAGTTTCCCAATATCACCTGCACGTATGATGTGTTCCAGTTTCCCATTATTACCTGCACGTATGATGTGTTCCAGTTTCCCATTATTACCTGCATGTATGATGTATTCCAGTTTCCCATTATTACCTGCATGTATGATGTGTTCCACTTTCCCATTATCACCTGCACGTATGATGTGTTCCAGTTTTCCATTATCACCTGCATGTATGATGTGTTCCAGTTTCCCATTATCACCTGCATGTATAATGTGTTCCATTTTCCCATTATCACCTGCACAGATGATGTGTTCCAGTTTCCCATTATCACCTACATGTATGATGTGTTCCAGTTCCCATTATCACCTGCATGTATGATGTGTTTCAGTTTCCCGTTATCACCTGCACGTATGATGTGTTCCAGTTCCCATTATCACCTCCATGTATGATGTGTTCCAGTTTCCCATTATCACCTGCATGTATGATGTGTTCCAGTTTCCCATTATCACCTGCATGTATGATGTGTTCCAGTTCCCATTATCACCTGCATGTATGATGTGTTCCAGTTTCCCATTATCACCTGCATGTATGATGTGTTCCAGTTCCCCATTATCACCTGCACGTATGATGTGTTCCAGTTTCCCATTATCACCTGCACATATTATGTGTTCCAGTTTCCCATTATCACCTGCACATATTATGTGTTCCAGTTTTCCATTATCACCTGCACATATTATGTGTTCCAGTTTCCCATTATCACCTGCATGTATGATGTGTTCCAGTTTCCTAATCTCACAACTTTGCCCACAAAATGTCGATTGCCATGGAAAGGTTTCCCGACTTTTACTAATCTCTTCAGCCTGCGATAATCTCCAGGACGATGTTATCCACACGCACACACAAACACACACACACACACAACGCATTTAAACACACACAAACACGCACATACACAACGCGCAGGCACACACACGCACACACGCTTAAATACAATTAATACCAGGACAGAGACACAGCGCCAGACATTCTTGTTTTGTGTGTAAATTCAACCTTTGTTCGGTCGGTCTCTTTTGTACAACCTTGCTTGTCAAGACCTTGCTGTGTGGCATTGGTCAGCATGTCTGCTCTCAGCATGTTGGTGCCGCTACTGCAGTTACATCTGAAACCGATCTCCATCCCTGTATACCGAAACGCCGCCCTGTTGAACGTCTCCATCTGTCCGACTTTCATCTTCCCTTTAGTCACAGCCAACTTCACCCTCCCCCTCTCCCCCCCCCCCTCCCCACCCCACCCCTTGTTCTTTACCCGCACCGCAGAAAACGATGTATCCAAAGATTGTGGATGGTCCAAAAGAATAAAACGGGAAGGTTGCCGAAACGACAGACACGACAGCTTCAGCTCATATGTTTACAATAACTCATTGACCTATGCAGGAAGTGTTTACAAACATTTCTGTCTAATTCAGCGACAATGGGAACAGTTTTATAATATTTACGATTCCGATAAACATCAATCTGCCTCATGATAGAGGTTGGGGGAAGGAGAAATGTGTGATGCGGGGGAGGGGATATAGAGGGGGGGGGGGGGTTTAAATTGCCTGTCTATTCTGTATGCTTCTGTCTGCCCGTGTGATCAGGATTCTACTCTGTCAATCGTCTACTTCTCATTACAGGTCCGGAAGTGGAAATCTAGTTTCTCTACGACGAATACAGATCAGCCTCCGTCTCACTGAGTTGGGAACCTTTCTTCTCTTTGTTCGCGTTCACTAGCTCTATTTGTCTCACTGAGTTGGGAACCCTTCTCCATTTTGTTCGCGTTCACTAGCTCTAAAAGCCGGAAGTTCTGGGTGTTCGTCCATCTCCGGACTTGAGTCTTGTTTTAGAAACTGAGTTTTGCGTGTACATCAGTTTCACAGTTCTGGCCTATTTATATGCATACCCTTGGTTCTTTGCCTCTCATACAGATGTACTCCGACTTCCTAGGATGCAGCCAGCTAGTCGACTCCTACGACATGCTTGTTAGGGTTGCAGTGGGTCTATTTTTGTTTACCCCACAGTGGGGTCAGAAAACCCACACTTGGAGGGTGGGAACCCAAACATCTAGCGTTGATCACCTTCAGCTCTGTTTGGTTTCAGAAAACACGCAAAGATAACAGCATGAAGGTGGCATGACACTGGTACCGCCAGATCCAATCATCCTTCAAATATATTGATAGCTGGACAACCTAGTTCTCGGTGCCTGTAGAGTCGGATCGATTCTTCACTGCCTCTTGTTTGCGTGTCACATGTATGTATGTATGTATGTATGTATGTATGTATGTATGTATGAAGGTATGTATGTATGTATGTATGTATGTATGTATGTATGTATGTATGTATGTATGTATGTATGTATGTATGTATGTATGTATGTATGTATGTATGTATGTATGTATGTATGTATGTATGTATGTATGTATGTATGTATGTATGTATGTATGTATGTATGTATGTATGTATGTATGTATGTATGTATGTATGTATGTATGTATGTATGTATGTATGTATGTATGTATGTATGTATGTATGTATGTATGTATGTATGTATGTATGTATGTATGTATGTATGTATGTATGTATGTATGTATGTATGTATGTATGTATGTTGGTTATGTATGTATGTATGTATGTATGTATGTATGTATGTATGTATGTATGTATGTATGTATGTATGTATGTATGTATGTATGTATGTATGTATGTATGTATGTATGTATGTATGTATGTATGTATGTATGTATGTATCTATCTATCTATCTATCTATCTATCTATCTATCTATCTATCTATCTATCTATCTATCTATCTATCTATCTATCTATCTATCTATCTATCTATCTATCTATCTATCTATCTATCTATCTATCTATCTATCTATCTATCTATCTATCTATCTATCTATCTATCTATCTATCTATCTATCTATCTATCTATCTATCTATCTATCTATCTATCTATCTATCTATCTATCTATCTATCTATCTATCTATCTATCTATCTATCTATCTATCTATCTATCTATCTATCTATCTATCTATCTATCTATCTATCTATCTATCTATCTATCTATGTAGGTAGGTAGGTAGGTATGTATGTATGTATGTATGTATGTATGTATGTACGTGTGTACGTGTGTATGTATGTACGTGTGTACGTGTGTATGTATGTATGTGTGTGTGTGTTTGTGTGTGTGTGTGTGTCTGTCTGTCTGTCTGCCTGCCTGCCTGCCTGCCTGCCTGCCTGCCTGTCTGTCTTTCTGTATGTGTGTTTGTGTGTCTGTCTGTCTGTCTGTCTGTCTGTCTGTCTGTCTGTCTGTCTGTCTGTCTGTCTGTCTGTCTGTCTGTCTGTCTGTCTGTCTGTCTGTCTGTCTGTCTGTCTGTCTGTCTGTCTGTCTGTCTGTCTGTCTGTCTGTCTGTCTGTCTGGCTGTCAGTCTGTCTGCCTGCCTGCCTGTCTGTCTGTATGTGTGTTTGTGTGTATGTGTGTATGTATTCGCAAACAGCCTCATTCAGTATATCTTCAAATGATTGGATGATTCACACAAAAAAGGTATCTCTAGAAATCATTTCTTTCCTGATCGAACTGACGCGGTAATCGGTATCTTGTCTTGGCGCCAACCTTGGTGTCTCTGGATCATCATCATCATCATGTTGCGACTATTGTGAAGAATTCGTTCTCTGGCCTTTGCCAGTTTCATACCTAGCATGTAAGTAATCTGTGGCGGTGCAGCCTCCTTGCTGGTGGGATCCTGCCAGTTTCACACCCAGCATGTAAGTAATCTGTGGCGGTGCAGCCTTCTTGCTGGTGGGCCCCTGCCAGTTTCACACCCAGCATGTAAGTAATCTGTGGCGGTGCAGCCTCCTTGCTGCTGAGCCCTGCCAGTTTCACACCCAGCATGTAAGTAATCTGTGGCGGTGCAGCCTCCTTGCTGCTGAGCCCCTGCCTCATCTTGCAGCAGATATGCACTAATGTTTTCTCCAAACTATTGCTGGCAATCCTTCCATGGTTGTCTTCTGTAGGATTAACGGCACAAGGATAAAGAGCGAATCCCAGAAACGCCATTCAAACGTTTAAGGTTTATAGTATGGTAGCCATACGGTTAGC